GTTTCGATTCAGGCAAAGGGCCCCACTTGAGGACCAAGAGGGCGACAAGTTCCTCACCCCCAGTCTAGTAATTTGCTCCAGGTCACACAGGTAGGAAGTGACAGTTAGGATTTGAACCCAGGTTCTAAACTGAAATCCAATGCTCACTACACCACAATAGTCCCAGTAGCCCTTCTAACTCATGAATGTTGGCATTCTCAGAAATTGAAGGGCCAGATAGACCTAAGAGTTCATCTGGTCCAACCTCCTCATCCTAGAGAAGAATGACTTAGGGTCAAGAGCAGTGAAGAAAGCAGCACAAACAAGGTCACAGAGTGACTCATCAGAGTGGCAGAACCCTGAATAGACCCCAAGTGCCAAGAGGAGTCCAGGGCCCAGTATAGCCAGCCCAATTATGCACCAACTTTCTTTCCTTTCTGTGGGTCTTGGTGAAAGTAGGCTCAACCCATTCCAATAGATCCATTCTAAGTAAGCTTTTGCAATCTCTTTGAAATTAGTAAGATGCCTCTGATGATGACTCAAGTCCCATAGTGCACTCATGTACATGGATATGTACAAGTACACATATACACACACACACAAATATTCCCTTCCTGTCCCAAGCTGCAAGGGAAGCCATAGACTCCAATCCTCATATTTACAGAAGAGGCAATAGGACCACTACAAAGAAGTAATTTGACCAAGGTGCCTTGCTCAGGGATGGCCCGTTGCTTCTGTCTTCCATGACCTGGTTATTTTCTTTCTTTCTCTCTCTCTCTCTCTCTCTCTCTCTCTCTCTCTCTCTCTCTCTCTCTCTCTCTCTCAGAGCTGAGGGGAGGAGAAGGGGAGGGTGAGGGAGAGATGACTCACTCCCCCTACTGCTAGCTGCCTCAGCAGTGTTTGTAAACCTCCCCACCACGTGCAGCCTGGTCGAGCTGGAATCACACAGACATGGATGCTGGCTGCCAAGTCAGAGAGGGAAGTAGGCAGACAAGAAGACACTGGTGAGGGTGGGGGTGGGTGGAAAGCAAAGATCAGCAGTAGGAGGGCATTTTTTTTCAGATGTGGGGAGGGGAGACTTGGCCAGGGCAGGAATCCTGGGCAAAGTCCCAAAATTGCCTCAGGCGGCTCTCAGCCAATCTGGGGTCAGTGTGGAGGAGGAAGAATGGGAGGCAACAGACATGGGGAGTACCATGTAACTGCTTGGGGCTCTCCCAATGGGGTGGTGCCCTACCCCCATTCCCAATCAGTGCCAAGAGGACAAGGACAACCACCTCTCAGGAAGGGGATTTCAGTGAACTCAGGCATGTTCCCAGCAGGCATCAGAGATGGACCCAGCCCACCAAGCAAAAAAAAAAAAAAGAGAGAGAGACTCACATCCTTCCCAGGACCACGGCATACTGGGAGCCAGGAATCTCAATAGAGCCTCTCTCACCCAATCTGGCCTGATCAGGGAGCAGCCCCAACCCTATTATGGATGGACAGCATGCAGTTGCCCAATGGTTGTGATTCAGGGATTAACTAACCAACTGAGGATTTAGTAAGCACCTACTATGTGCTGGGTACCAGGACACAAGTACAATGAATGCAACGATGTCTCCTTGACATGTGTTTGCAGAGACGGCCAGTGAGTCCACCAGAGACCCCTCTAACTGTCAGCCCGGTCTGACACAGATGGGGACCATGATCATGGGCCACAGAACATGGCCACATGCCCTGACAAGCATCTTCAGACTTGCTGGAGAGCCCAGCTCATTGGTGGAAGCTGCACCAGGGAATGGGGCCAACCTGAGCTGAGCACATGCCTGCTGTGCCAAGAGTTTCCCCTCCCCCTCTGCTGCAAGAGAGCTGAGCAGAGGGAAGGCCCCGGCTGGCAGGTGCCCTCCCCTAGGGGAGGGCCAAGCCATCATGCCATCACGGCTGCCATCGCTGCCACCACCACCACCAGCACATGTGGGTGTCTGTCCCACGTTCCTTCCCTTCTGAGTCAAGTGGAAGAGCAAGCTCTCCTCTCCCTCCCCCACACTCACACACTTTCCCTTTGTGACCCAAGCTGGGATACTGTGTCATCCAACCCCCTCAATTTGCAGAAAAGGAAACATAGGCCAAGTAAAGGGAAATGGTATGTTCAAGGTCACACAATAAGTAGGGTAGCAGCTGTGGGACTGGATGCCGAGACTGAGTCCAGGGCTCCTTGAACACTGCTCTGTTCCCTTGGGAATGGTGGCTGTCCTGAAAAGGTCTGTCAGTGACTAGAAGTGAATTCTGGAGGAACTACGGAGGAAAGATTTCCACTGTGCCAAGAGCACGCTTGGGAAGAGGCTTACACCCCAAGTTGATTCCTTTTCCTTTCCCTGTGGTCTGTGGATGTGGAAAGAGGACAGTAAAATCTCTGGGCAGAGGCGTCAGTATTTCTGGCTTTGGTCGTATCAGGTTGTATGTGTTCGGAGTACAGTGTGCCCCACTGAGTAAGGGAACTCCGAGGGTTAAGGAATCATCCCAACAAAGGCTAGCTGATCCAACCTGGACCTTCCACCACAACACCTCAGAGTATGCACTGGAGGTTCCCAGCAGCCATCCCACCTCGGGACAAGTGGAATAGCTTTCAGCAAGCTCAATCAGCCTCTGTCTCCTCCCACCACTCCTGGTCCTAAGCCCACCTCCACAAGACAGCCCTTCAGATACTTTGATTCAATGATCACATCTGAATCTTCTCTTCTTCAGCCTCCATATGTCCATTTTCCACCCCCACCACCTCCTGTAACTTGTCTCAACACATTCGTGTCCCCTTCTGATTGCCCTGGTCTGGATTCACTCCAGGGTGTCAATGCCCTTCATCAAGGTGTTTATGAGGGAATTCAATTCTGGAAAAGGCAAAACACATGTGGCCCCAACACATAAACAAGGCCAGCTGTGACCCACAACCTGCTCTCATTCTCACCAGGCAACTTTCCCAAATTACAAACCTTCTGCCTGCCTCCTCACTCCTGGCCTCCCCACTTGCTCCACTCTGTCAACATGAGCCACAGCCTCTACTCTCAACCCTGTCAGAGGCTTCCTCAGCTAAGGGACCTCAGTGAGTGTTGCCTGGTTCTGTCCACTCTTTGGCCAGGAGCCACTCCCGAGAGGAGAGAGAGCACCTTGGGTGCTGGGGTTGAGGATACAAAAAGGGAGTCTGCAGAACTCTGCTCCCCAAGGATGAAATCCAGAGAACATCATCCCTCCTTAAAACTCCCATCACTATGTCCTCAACTCACACCCTCATATGGGCAGACACCTACTGGTAGCATGCCCTCAGTGGGATGGGCCAAGGCAGGACAAGGCAGAGCAGCTCAACCAATCAGGGACAAGCCTGCCCATGAGTACAGATGAGCAGAGAACATCATGGCTCAATGGGTATGGAACCTGGGGTTCTCAAAGCAGAGGTCCTACATTTCAGGTCAATGAATGAATGAATTAATTAAAAAAAAATAAAAACATTTATTTAGTGCTTACCATGTGCAAAGCACTGTCCTAAGCTCTACAAATACAATTGGACAATATAATGCAAGTGAAAACAGTCCCTGCTCTCAAGGAGAAGCAACCGAGAACTTGGCCCTTTTTCAAACCTCAATTCTTACAAAACTGACAGCCACCCCCACCCTCCACTATCCTCCTCAAAGGTTCCAGCCTCCCAGGGAGGGGTTCCAGTGGAAGGAACTGGGGGTGAGAGAGGTGAACAGCAACTCAAGCTCCATGGTAGGGTTGACAATCACCTCCACCCCCTTCAAAACACTGGGCTTAGAGGCAGAAGACTTGGATTTCAGAGTTAACTGTCTCACTTACTATGTGACCTTGGACTAGTCCTTTGCCATCTCTGGGCATTAAGTTTCCTCATGTACAAAACCAGGGGGCTAAGGCCAGACAAGCTACACTATACTCTCTAGCTTTAACACTTCAGTTCTATGCCAGGCCCCGAGTGAGGACCCTAGGCTTGAGAGGGGTGGGGAGGGATCCAGCGTATTAAATCACTTCAGAGAAAATATATAATCCCCATTTTACAGATTATGAAAAAAGAAGCAAGAGTTCCCAAACATTGTAAGGGAAGGAGGAAGTCCACCATTCGGTGCCCCTCTCCCTCTCCCCACATCTGCTAGCCCAGGCCTTCAACTGGGCCACTCTTGGGAGTTTGGGGAGCCTTTTTTGTTTTTCCTCAGAGGCAGCGAAATAAAGGGCACATTTGAAAGTTGTAACAGGAACCTGACAACTGGGGGGGGGGGAGTCTGGGGAAGCAGGATCAGCCGGCTCCTCCCCACCCACAGCACCCTTTGCTTTTGAACTCCCCCCAATATCTCCTCTGCCATCTCACCTGCACTAAAGTCTGCCTGGCCAGGAAAGTCCCTGTCTTTCCCCACTTCGGGGCCTCCCTCAGCTCCATATCCGGCAAGTTCCACATGGTGCCCGCAGGTCCCAAACCCCAAAGGTGGCAGGGGCAGCACCACGCACGCTCTGGCATGACGTCACCACTCCACCCAAAGCTCGTCATCCCTCCCACTGCCCCAGCATGACAGCCATCACCATGGTGACCACAGCATGAGCAATGATATCATGCCTCCTTCTTCAGGCTCCCTCGGGGAGCCTGGCTCTCCTCCTCTCCACCTCACTTTCCACCCCCTCCCCTCTCTGGGGATTTCTGCTGATTGGGTGAAAACCCACAGCAGCAAGGGGGGGGGCAGAGGGAGGAGGGGGAGGGGTGTCATTCTGAAAACACTACAACAAATTAAACCACAACTCCCACCTGAAAACCCCTCCACCGGGGAACGTGAAATGAAAGCCTGCCCAGGCGGTTCGTGCATGCACACAGCTCCCAGTCTTGGAGGTCCTTGGTAACACACAAACATAGAACCAGGGAGGGCCAGGGATGCCAGGTCGCCAGTCCACAGGCTGGCTTCTTTCTTGTCACTAGGCCAACCAGGGTCCCCCAGCCCAAGGCACCCATTCCCCATTCCCCAAGAGCTCTGTGACCTCCGGCGCCAAAGTACCTTGACCGCCACGGCGGTGGCTTGTCCCCAAGGCTCAGCAGCGGCCCCGTCAACCGGCTTTATCTCCACCTGCAGGAGAGTCCAGGAGAACAGAGGAATGAGACAAGTAGACATCTCCCCCACAGAAGCATTGTTGACGCTCCCACCAGAGCTGGGGAAAGGGAACCAGCAGGGCGGCCCAGGCAGCTCTGTGGGGGCGGAGTCTGAAGCAAGGAAGGGAAAGGGGGCCAGCTTTCCGCAGCCACCCCCCCCAGCTCCCTCCCACCACTCTCCTGCTTCCATTGCCATTGTTGAAGGAGCTTGTTTTCCTTCCTCTTTTTTTTTTCTGCTTTAATTCCCAGGCCCCTGGGGGCTTCAGAGAGGAAGGTCCCTTCTCCACTCCAGCTGTCCCCCAAATCCCTTTGCCCTTCCAGCTGCCTACCTTCACCGCCCGCCCCACCGCCACCACCGCCACCGCCGCCGCAGACACACTGGTGCATTCGTCGGAGCCCTTTGCCAGACTCTCCACTTATTATAAGGGCATCAGGAACTCCCTGCCCCTCCCCCCCAAGAGGCACTGCAGATGTGAATGCCAGGCCCAGCTAAGCTCTGCTCCACTCCACTCAGTTCCCCTCCCCAACAGTGGGGGTGTGGGGGGGGGCCCTGGGGAAAGGCGCCAGAGCCAATCCCAGGCAGGCTCTGCCAAGCGGGGGCAGGGCACCTTCAAGCCAGGCTTTCAGCGGCTTAGAATTGGACTTGCCAGGCCACATGTCGTAAGAGGATGCGTGGTAGGACCCAGGAGCGAGCTGCCTGCTCAGCCATGTCCTGCCTCCTCATTCCCCTGAAGCCAGGGGTCCCAGATGTCCCAACCCAAAGCAGTGGGGGGGGGGAGCCCACCTCCCACCAGCAGTCCAGGTGTACAGCCTCCCTAGTGCAGGACACTTTGTGACAGGCAGCCACTTCTGGGGAAGTGGATGTGACTGGCATCCAGAGAGCTTCAGTCCTGATGGCTCCAGCACTCCTGAAGCTTCAGAGGCTGAATAGGCTGCCCACCCACCCACACCCTTCAAACAAAAATACTAGGGCTGAGACCAGACCCCAAAGCCAGGCCCAGGCCCTGAGCACCTCCATCCCCCAGTCCTGAGAAACCAGGCAGATTCTGTGAGGTTTCAGTGCTACTCGGACGACCTAAAACAAGTGAAGACACAGAGGCAGCACGACTGGGGTCAAGATTCTTTCAACCCTGAAGCAGACACATGGATCCCAGCTCTGACGGATCCCTGGGAAGTGTCAACATAGACCGGTCACTTCAATTCACTGCTTTGAGCCTCAGTTTCCTCATCTGTCACTTGGGGTTGATATACTTTCTGACTCAAAGGGCTTTCTAAACCTCAGAGTATCACCTACAGGAGCTGGGCGATTATTACAGGTTAATGTTTGCCAAGAAGGGGTGAGGGGAGTGTGCTCTGTGACTGATCTCATTCTCAATGCCACCCCAGGACAGCAGTGACTGAGCTCAGCTTGGCTCCGCTGTCCCTCTGCATCATCATTTCTCAGCCAAACCACACATTTCCTAACCTGGAGGAGATCTGGCAAGCTGACCTCTCTCTCTGCACACACACTGCAAGCTGTGCCAACAGCCCCTTCCTTTGAGGGCCTCCCAGTGGCCCCCTGAGCCTTCTCCACCTCCAGAAGCTTCAGATTCCTGCTGTGCTGATGATTCCAAGGTACTGCCACCTGGATTCAGCCTCACTCTCCTGCCCAGCACCCCATCTACTATTTCTTACTGCTGGTGGAAATAAGCAGAACTGTTCTGGATGGGGGCGGGGGTTAGGAACAGGCTACCACAATATCACTCTTTTGCTAAATTCATCCTATATTTCCAACAAGATTTTAAATCTCTGGAAAACAAGGTCAGTGACTCAGATTTCTGTGCATCTCAGATTAGAACACAGTGAGTCCATCCCACATCCCTCCAATGACCAAACCACTTCAGTCCTACTGATCTCAAAAAGAAAGTATGCTACAAAGGAAAAAGCCCTAGGCCTGAAGTTCGAAGTCCTGGGTTCAAATCCTGTTTTTATTCCTTACTGCTTGTGGAACCCTGGACATACAATTACCCTGCCAGGTGGGAAGAATAGAGGTGTGGAGGGAAAGGATCACTACCATTATCATCACTATCGCTATCATGTCCCTCAGTTTCCTCATCTGGAAGATGAGAAAATTGAACTGGATGATATCCTAGGTTCTTGCCAGTTCTGAGATTCTTGGATCAGCCTCAATTCTTGCCCCTCTAGTCTTCCTAGGCTATCCATCACTATCTTCTGGTTTCAGGAACTTCCCTTCCCAGCCTCTCTCTATAAATGAGTAAATGAAAAAGCACGTGCTGAGCATCCACTCCGGTCGGATTCCATAACAAAAGTGGGAGGATGGGGCAGGGAGGGGAAGGAGGCCACCTGGAAGGGGAGCAGGAGTGCACTGTGCACACTCCATCCAAGAGCAGCTTCCAGGCAGGGTGAGACATGGACATCTGGAGCCAGTCACGCAGAGGCAGTTAAGATGAATTCATTTCAATAATTATCTATGAAACATCTTAGGATCATTCGACTCCAACCTTCTGCTACAGTCTCTGCCTTATTAAGGGTCAATTCTGGGTCACCTCCATCTGTTTTCTCTGTGCCCACTACCAAACTGCTGGGCATTTCTAGGAAAAAAGGGGCCCATCTCGACTCCCATGACTTCCATTATGACATAGATAAGTGTCCCAAATATTGCTTGTAGGCTCCTGGTCATGATGTTCAAACACTACAGAATGTTTTCACCTGGTACTAGAAGCGCAATGTATATATATATATATATATACCAAATGGATCTCATCATTTTCCTCCATCACAAACCAAGCCCTCCTTCTTCTGCTCTGCACTGTGCCCAATAGTCCTGAGTTACCAGAGCTCAAACCTGCAGCAATCCTTGGGTCCTCCTCTTCCCTTGATGCCCACATCTTCTCTCTTGAACTCATCCTTTCCTTTCCCTACCACTACCTTCATTCAGGTATTCATCAGCTCTTCTCTGAACTGCAGTAATAAATTCCTACCCCAAACCCCTGTTAAGCCATCACACACACCAGGACTATGTTACTTTTCCTAAAACACACCTGTCAGTTCCCTCCTCACCAGCTGTCCATGGCTCCCAACTGCCCATCATTCAAGGCCATCTGAATTCTGGTGCCAGTCTACTTTGCTAAACTTAGAGATTCAGATTACTGTAGTACAATGGAAAGAGCGCTGGTCTGGGCATCAGAGGACCTGCCTCTGGTACTTCCTGCCCATGTGACTTTGGACAAACCAATGTAGAGTAAGGACCTTAGCCTAGATGGACTCTGAAGCCCCTTGTGACCCACCCCCCCCACTCTGGTCTTGTTTTGCACGCGCGCATACACACACACACACACACACACCACACACACACACACACACACACACACACACACACACACGTCTGCTTCACCCAAGCATAACTACTCTGAATGGCCAATCCTTCCTTCTGTATCATTCCCTCCATCACCCCCAGACACTGGACCTAGAAAATCCCTGCCCCTGCTTGAAGACCAGCTCAAATACTCTCTCCCTCCTGTATCAAAACTTTCACAAGAGGAGGAAAATAAAATCTTTTTCCCCTCATAACAAGTAGCATTTGTGGAATCTCACCTTGCAGTTTGCGAAGTTCTCTCCAGCCATTACGCCTTACAACAGGTTTGCAAGCAGAGCAGCAAGTATTCTTTCCTTTTTGAAGGAAAACTGAGTCTTGGGTTAAGTGACTTACCCAGATTACAAAGAGTAAATATCAAAAGTAGAATTTCAACACAGGTCTTCCTGACTCTAAGACAAAGCCTTCAACCACTGTACCATACTGCCTCTGGGAAGTGACTGCTGCCTCTCAGTCCTTGGAACAATGAGAAGGCTTTGTATCTCTTCTGCATTTATTGCATGCTGCCTGTAGAGGACTATTTGCATTCATTAAAGTCCATTCACTGAGGGCAGAGACTTCTGCACCTCTGTGTGCCTCTAGTCTTCCTGCAGGAAAGGCCTTCCGAAGCTACCTCATCATACTCATCCCTGATGAGAATCCAGTCCTTCTGGAAAGCCTCGCCAGAGAAGGAATCTATTCTATGCCCAGTTAGTCACCCAAGACTTTGGATGAGCTGGGATCTGATTCACTGCTATTTGCCCCCACTGAGTCAGAGTCAGCCTTTGGGAGCCAAGCACAGGAAGGCTGATCTCTTGTCTAATCACTGCTGATAGACAGTCATCATGGCCCCACTAGATAGCCTTTTCTCTAGCTACAAGTCCCCAGGTCCTTCCCTTCTCAAGTGCAATCTCTTACATGAGGCTTTTCCTGACCCTCAAGCAGTCACTCAATTGGGTCTCCTCTCTAAAAAAACAAAAAAACCACCCCTGTATTTCGTTATATGTACCTGTATATGCATGTCGTCTCCCCCATTAGAACACAAGCTTCTTGAAGGCAGGGCTATCTAGCATGGGGTCTGGCACATGGGCTAGGTGCTTAATGAATAATGAATGGGTGGTCTCTAGGCCCCTCCACAGCCTGATCACTCCTGAAGAGATCTGGAGTTTATTAATGACCTTCCAAAGACTGCAGAGGGGGTCTGGACAGGGCAGAGGCTAGCTAGACCACCATATCGCTCCCTCTGGACACAGGGGCTGTCTTAATGCAGTGCTAATAGCACCTGCCCAGGGGCAGAAGTTTCATTTTTTCCCCCTCTGTATCATCAGTTCCTAACATAGTGCTAGCCCATGATAAGCACCTAAAAATGCTTCTTCAATGAATAGCCTTGATGTCCACTAAGGACCCTGGGTCCTCTTCACATGAACCATTGTCCAGCCAGACCTCACTCATTTTATACTTGGAAGGATGACTCTTTTTTTTCATCCAAATTTGAACATTGACATTTGCCCTTATTAAAAGCCATCTCTCTTGATTTTCAAGACCATCAAGATCTCTTGCATCCTAACCCCACCCCAGGTATTAGCAACTCTAACAGCTCTATGTTACTTGCAAATCCAAGATGC